CCCCCCCCCCCACCGAGGAGGCCTCGCTCTTACGTTAGCGTGGAGGCGCTGACCTCCCTCTGGAGATGGGCTGCTCTTTCCGTGTGCGCAGTGGGGGAAGCGCGTGAATGGGGTCCTGGTACCAAGCAGGCAGCACAGAGTGCTGAGCTCTGCAGTTTGCCTTCAGGAGAAGCAGGCCGGGGAGCTGAAAGCACACATTCACTTCCATTAATTGCTGATCCTATCGATTAAAAACAACAATAACAATTCCTCTCATATGATGCATCCTCTATAATTCATAGTGGCGAATGTATTATCGAACTCCAGTGCCAATTGAAAACTTTCAAAAATGATGAATGCATGTTTTATTTCGGGGGTTATGTGAATAGCCTCTGCCAGTTTCGCTGTAGCGGTATGTTTGGCCAAGGCTCTTGACTGCAGTGAAATGTTCCGCTGTTCCGCCAGTGAAGTAAAATAATCCTCCAGATCAGGAGGCCGACCAGACCTGAAGCCGGGCCGGGGTGCACAATGTAACATACCACAATGTATTAAAAATACATTCATTTTTATTTGCCTTTTCTATATCTGTATTTACCAATTCTTGCTTGCAGCATCCAGACAGTGACATGTAACAGGGTTAGACAGCACAAAAGAAAACAAAGTCATCACAAACATACAAACACATGACTAGGTAGGGGCACAGTAGGGACATGGAAATCCTGGCAGATTCAGGGGGCCCCAACACTTTACGGGGGCCCATGACTACAGAAAGTTTTTAATATTATTGGCTGGGGGGCCCAAAATGACATTTTGTCAAAGGGCCCAGAATTTTCAGCTACGCCCCTGTGACTAGGTACTGTATACGTATTTATGGAGTAAATATGAAATAAACAGAAGGAATAGCTGCTGAAATCCTAAAAAGTTCGAGTTCTGATTGATTTTTTCCCATAAGAAGTAATGGAAAACCAATTAATTGGTTCCCGGGCCCCCAAAATTACACCTAAATATGTTTTTTTTAGCATTTAAACACAAAATGAACAAGATAAAACAAGAAGAGCATTTTTTTCTTAATGGCTTCCAAAACGATAAAGATCTTATCCCAACATTACCCCTGTCCTGCCCCGATCGTCCGCTCCTTCCGTGTGCCACGCCCCCTCGTTAACCTCGTGTGGGATCCCCATGTGATCAGCTGTTTCTGGTTGTTGTCATTAGTCCTCTGTATTAAGTCCGCGTTTCAGTTTGTTTCCCCAGTCCGGTCATTGGGTGCGTTCGACTTGCTTACAGCGCTGGCTTAAAGCAACGCATTCTGATCCTGACGCAACGCATTACGGTTAGATGCATTGCGACCTCTCACCCGGCTGCACAAACTGGAACCGCCTCTGTGACGACACACCTTTGTCCTTATTGGCTGAAGAGTTTAGTTCCGATGCGTAATCTGCTATTTCTCCCGAATATCACATAAAGCAGTCAGAGCTGGTTTTCAGTTAATTTACCTGGTAAAATAAAGGTTAAATAAATGACATAAATGCTCTAATAGTACACGTAAGTATCGACTTCTGATATTCAGATCGAGTTCTAGGTCAAACTGGTTTGTTCGACTTTCAAGAAATTCAAGTTCTAGTGAGTTCGAGAACCAAGGTACCACTGTATTTCAGAATAAAGTGCGATGTGCAAAGTGTCCCTCTGTCCAGCAAAGTGCAGTGTGCAAAGTGTCCCTCTGTCCAGCAAAGTGCAGTGTGCAAAGTGTCCCTCTGTCCAGCAAAGTGCAGTGTTCAAAGTGTCCCTCTGTCCAGCAAAGTGCAGTGTTCTTCGCTCGCACTTCAGTGTGCGGGGAAGTGGTTCCCCCCAAGATGTCATGGCACCTGCACAGAGGACACCCTGACAGGTCACATGCTGTTCTTGTCTCGTGGCACGTTTCGGTAGAGCTCTCCCAGACCCTGATAGTGAGCCTCTGAGCGTGAAACAGCCTCTTATCGTATCTAAAAGGTGCCGACCGTCATCCAGGCGGGGGGGAGGGGGAAGGCAATGTGTTGTTCTCCTCTCTTGAAAGGGAGAGCTTGTTGATTGCCGTACCCAGTACAGGCACTGAAGGCGAGGCTCTCCATTGTGAATTTTTGTATTTACATGCTCCGACTCACCGTCTCCTTATCTTCCCCCTGCAGTCAAAAAAAATCCAGGCTCAACTGAAAGAGCTGCGTTATGGGAAAAAGGATTTGGTATTTAAGGTAAGAGCACGCATAATTCTCGCAGTCCCTTTTCTCTCTGCGTGAGGCATTCTGCATGGTGAACGAGAAGCACTTCCTCACACAGATTAGAAGCTTTGGGTGTTGCTAGAAGAGTTTGCCCTCATGCGATAATAGTGCTCCTGTTCGATTATGCTACTCAGGCACAAATGTTCTGTGACCCTGTTGTATTCATAACATCGGGACTTAATGTACTCCAAGGGGTTATGCCCCCGAGGGGTGAACATCTGAGATGGGGTGGGTGGGCCTTTGGGGACGATCTAAGACATGATCTTAGGGCGATCTTAGAATGATGAAAGGGTGCATGTAGTATAAGAGCAGCTTCAGGCCCGGTTTGTGCACTTGATGGTGCTTGTGTTGAATAGTCACGCTTTGCTACGCAGGTGAACATTTTGCCGGCTAGATCTGAGCACGTATATATCCAGCCGTTATTCCAGTCGGTGTAGAAGCACTTAATAAAGAGAGACAGCAGCCCTCAAAATCAGAATGCCAGCACGGCAGCTGCAGCCTTTCATTACAGCCTGCTTCCGGGAGACGAGTGCTGTCCGATAGGTTCCCCGGCCTCTGAGCATGCAAAGGGGCGAATCGGGCTGTCTGATCTGGCCTGCGGAAGCAGACTGTCTCTCCAGGCACCTGTGAGCTTAAAGGAGCAGGCGATCAATGATCAATTCCGGGGGCATCCAGGGCAGGCGACTCTAAATATAAAGGATTGCTTCCATTCTTATTGTGGCTGACAAGTCGGACAGTACCAAAGAGTCAGGGGACCTGATCTGACAAGGGGGAGGACTGTCCCCCTCAGTCTAGCCATTTATGAGCAAAGCTCAGGGACCAGTCTGAAAAAAGCATGTGCAGGGATGTCGGCTGTTGCGCGGTCATTTAATGAGGACGCTTCCTCTTACCTTGCTGTCTTTGGATTTACTTTTATGTTTGTTGTTTTTCTCCTGCTGGGTACAGACCTCCCACACACAACCGAGCCCCTCGGCGAACAAGAACGTAGCTATTTTAGCTAAATAAAAAGACACTCGGATTTGACTTGGGAGGGAACAGGTTATGTTTAAAAAAGAAACTTGTGATATTTCCAGCAGCTACACAAGCTTTTTCCTTGCTTTGGGGTCTAAGCTGTCGGGCTTCACTGACCTCTTTGGATAGGAAGCGAACACATGAAGGGCTTTTTGCCTGATAGCAAACATCACACCAGGGGCTGGATGCAGTGTGATGCAGTGTGATGGCATGAGGCAGCTTACCATCACCACTTCAGTCAGAACCGGTCCAACTCCCCAACCTGACCTCTGAGGAAACTCATATGGCGGAACTTCCACAGTCTGTCTGTCTCACATCCAGGGACAGCAGCTCATGGACCTGGAGCGCAAGCTTCTGGCCTCCAAGGAGGAGTTGGAGAAGACTGCTTTGGACAAGGTGAGGCTTCCGGAAGGATCCACATACGCTGATCATCCAGTGGAAAGCCATTAAACACCTTGACAACAGATTTTCGGTTGTTTCATTCTAATTTGAATGCAAATCTAATGCAAATCCAAGTCACCTTAATTACAGCCCAAGCAAATTCCTTTTCCTGTAAAGTTGTTCAAATATGATTGTTTTTTTTCTTGCAGGTCTAAAATTAATCCTTTACAAAAAATGCACGTTGCACAGATGCCAGACTAATATGCGCACACTTATATTTTTTCAATTCTGATTATATTCTGTCATCATATATATACTGAGATGAGTACAAAGAAGAGCAATTTGTAGGTATTTCATCTCTCAGATGTAGTGGAGCTTCAATCTAGCAGATTTCTTCTGGATATTTCTTAGCCATTGAGAATGGATGGAGAGATGGTAGAAGGCATGGATGGAGGGAGGTATGATTGAATGATGGATATGAGTGACAGAAGGATGGAATTATTAATAAACGTGTTAATATACAACAGGAGAGAGGTTGTGTATAGTTGGATGCTTGATTTAATACACACATATGCGCGTGAATGTATGGCTGGAGAGATGACTTATGAGTATACCTTCTTAACCCATAATGCACCTCCCTTAGGAGTCCCAGCTGAAGGCGCTGAAGGACACCGTGCACCTCTGCTTCTCCTCAGTGCTGCAGAGCCACCCGCCCAGCAGCCACGCCCTCCTGACCGCCCCCTCCCACCTGACCAGGTTCTCTGCCCTTGCCAACAGCTCCAGGGTCACCTTCCAGCAGCCACACGCCAAGGTATGCCCTGCCGTGGAGACCGAGCCCCAGCGCCCAGGTGGAGCCTGAATGCCGGCCATCTGGCAGTCCGATGGTTCTCCTCGGGGAGTCTGACAGGGTCCAGGTGTTAACGTGTACACTAAGAACGCCGTGCGTGCGTGTGTGTGAGCATTTATCTTATGTGTAGCTATAATCTGCCCAATAAGGTCAGAGCCACAGAAAGAAAAACGTGTTTTCCTCCTCAAAGGAATAATTCACGCCAAAGCCACTGATTTAAAAATACATTCCTCTGCACCTCATCTCATTTTGTTAATATGGAGCATTCCAAATTGTGATATTATTCCAGTAACGATGGGCTAGCAATAAATAATGTCAGAAATGGCCCCCGTGATTTAGATTGAATTAGGTCTGGCTACTGTATTTATATACCTAGCTTATAATGTCTTTGGATATGGTTATCTGTAACTGATTTGTGTGGGAATTTGGTTTTTTTTTCCCTACTTTTGCTGTCATTGCTGTTTGAAACATTTAGATATTTTGTTTATGCCGTCAGCAGCGGGCCCATAAATATGCCCCATGTGGCATCATGTTTATCCTTTATAGCAGCTTTCTGAGAGTGTGCGCGCATTTGTCAGTCTGGGAAACGTGCGCCTGTCGGCCGGCGCTGCTCTGTCACTGCCGCCGAGAAAAGCCCATTTGCTCAGTCTGGTCCATTTGCTCAAGTTTGTGATGTGCTTCAGGGCTGAGTAACCAGCATGGGGCTGCCCACGGGGGACTGGAAGCCCTGGAGATGTGACCCATCCCTCTGGTACCATCTCCTCTTTAATCTAGAAGATGAAAACACACTTACTTTAAGACAGTGGCCCTTAAAGCTCATTGCATATCGTTTAATCACCTGGATAGTGTGGACTATATTTCAAGGTTTTAGACTATTAAATAATACATATGGACATTACTGTTGAAACGACTGAGGCAAAGAGTGTCACTTGACGGAACGACAGTGGGGTCTCCAGTCTGGTTTCTTAATTATAGGATTAAAGGATAATTCATTGCCTGTTTTCCTGTCGCGTTGCTGCAGGGTTTACATGCTAATTCAAAGTTTCATCTGGACCTTTGGGTAACAGTAGGACATGTAATGATACTCGTGACCAGTAGGGGCTGCTCTGCTTGAGCTTGTCGTTTAAACATTGAGGGTGTGAGCTTGGGCCGAGGTTTACTGGAACACCTGCAAGGTGGCCCACGAATGTCAGAACATGCCCCTGGACAGTTAGGCGTAGCGAGGACTTGCCATCCTTAGCGGGCACTCGTATCTCCTGCTCATTCGTGAATAGCCCGCGATGCTTAGATGAACTGTTGATTTAGGCCATGAAGCTCAGGTGTCATGAGAGGGACCTTAATAACACAGTGAAGGCTTTATTGTATTGAACATTGGCTCTGAAAAAAAGGTATGACCAAAAAAGTGGAAAAATCAATGTTCATGTCTGGCTGTGGGCCTTTAATTGACACCTGGGCAGCACAGTGCCAGCAATGAGCTCATCTGGCCCAGTGGAAACCAAACGCTCTTCAGCATTTGAGCCAAATTGTTACTGGTCCCCAAACCCCAAGGAGTTTGTGCAGTCCTCTATGGGGCTGAGGTGTGCTAATCACAAGGCCTTCACTGTGGCCTGTAGTCTGGAGGACTGGAACACAAGCAGCGCAGTGTAGATGCCAGAGACGATAATCAGCATTGTTCCTCACCCAATCAAGTACAATGTGACGTTTGATCATCCTGAATCCATGTGAAAGTCGCAACCTGGGTCACCGGACTGTGTGGACCCCCATACTGATGCTGCCAGAGCACCCTGCTGCTTCTCACTGGTCAGCAGATCCCTGTCTATGTCCTATGTCACAACAGGAGCCCTGGGATTTCCTCCTGGGCTGGGCACAGAATGCTGGTGTTCTTCTGGCATCCCAGGGCCCTGAACTTAGAGTTCGCCAATGCGTTAAAACGGGACAGTAGTTCACAGTGTAGACAGGCGAGGGAGAGTGGCCTACTTTGGCACACGTGGGATTTCCATACTAGGGAGAGTGGATCCGGGGAGGCAGAGAGAGATTAAAAGCTGGAGCGGTTTCATGCCTAACAGCCTGTGAACGCCGCTGGAGCAGCACATAGGCAGCACTTACTGAAGCAGAGCCTCAGCCAGCAGCTACAGTTAAAACGCTGATAAACCAGGAGACCTAACGCCCATCACCTGCTTCTCACAGCAAGTAACTGTGATTCCAAAAAAATCAATTTCCACTTAAAGGTTGGATTCAATTAAGGTCCCAATTCAGTTAATTACTAATTTCCACTTTTAATATGGTTTAATGTGGTGATTTTCCCTGTGTTCATCTTAACTATAAAAGAAAACCTGCTTCAGGGATTTCAGCGTAATAAAAATTTAATCATACACCATGAATGACACATGTATGTTTTATCATTATAAAAAAATTATGTTAATTTACTGTTATCTATTTTCATTACTTAAATGCTTGAATAGTTACATAAGAGGTAAATTAAATGTTGGCGACACTGAACTTGATTGAGGGGTTGAGGGATTATGGGTAATGAAGGGAAACTGCAAACTGTCGAGGGGTTATGGGTAATGAAGTGAAATTGCATATTGTCGGGGGATTGTGGGTAATGAAATGAACTTTCTTGCAGTCAAAAGGTTACGCATAATGGGTTCTGGAGAGATATTAGACCATCTCCGTTATAGGTGGCTGTTTGAAAAAGAGGACTGATATACATTAGTCTGTCTTCCTATTTCAGTCTGCTCAGGATCCAGCCAAACTATCTTGAGTTTCATTTCCTCTCTAAATGGACAGCAATTACACCATCTGTGCTCCAGACTCTTTGAGGGTCAACAGGCAACATTGTTCTTTTTCAGTCAGAATATATCGTTTTATTTCCTTCGATTCTAACAACAAAATGATATCTTGCAATAAAATCCATTACATGATATATTTAAAGACATACAGCCATCTCTTTCATTCTTTAAATTTTCCACAATGCAGCCACACCTGTCATACCAAGAGGATATCAGGACCTTACACTAAAGCTTGCAACGTTTTTAAACTTAAAACTGAAGTCATTTTTATAATTGTTAGCACATTAAAATATTGCTTAAGCACAAGCATCTTATACATTTTTGCAGTTAAAATTAATTAAAATCCCATTATTATGGTTTAATCAGCTGGAAATTAACGGTTCCAGGTCCTGAGTAATGCCTTTTTCCGTAATAGGACTTTTTTTTTTTAATTGCTTCCAGAATATCCCAAAAATGCTGAGGATCGTTACAAGTAAAGCTCCTTCAAAAGCAGAGCCAATGAAGAGGGACACCGCAGAGGTCAAGGACTGCCAGTCTGAAAAGGTACGCTGGGTCACCCCCTGCACGCCACTTACTGAGGGTGAGACGGTGCCCACGTCCCCTCGCATGTAACAAAAACTTACCCTCAGAAGCTGATTTTTGGTCAGCAGTGACAAACCATGACGCGTTTTATAGCCAGTGGACAGTCATCGTGAATTGTTCAGTAGCCAGTGGGTGGTTCCAGTTTTTGATCGAGCGTCCTGTATGAGGGTACGTGGTTTATCAAGGGATATGAAACCTGACTCAAAACCTGTGTTGAAAAGCTGAAGACTGAATGATGCCACAGTGTGGCCCATCTCTTATATACTTACCTAATCTTTGCTGGCAATATTATGATAACTAATTACCTTCATAGCTCAATGACTCATTATGATTCTGCTTCTAAACAAAGATAAACCTTAAATTCCTCCAGATGAAACTTATGCATAATTCATGGATCTGTTCTTCTGTTCTCGTCTTCTCTTTCACTTTCGTGCTGAGGTTTACTTTGCTTCTCTTATTATTAACAACAAATATCCACATTTAAATCATATTACTGCATTCTTTGCTTAATTGTTGTTGACGAGAACATATCGTGTTTGGAACCTTATCCTTTCAGCTCATCCAGACTGTGTTCTAGATTCTGTTTGACCCACTGTTCTAGTTTCTTCTGTGAGAGAGTGTCATGGTCAGGCGGATACTGCGTAACCCATTCATTAGACACAGCTTGATGTACTGGATTCCCACCCCATCTTCATTCATTCAGATGCATAGTACCCTCAGAAAGGTGACCTGCTAGTTTGATTGCTTGTTATAATACTATGGCTTATTATAACATTTCTGACAGATTCTTCGGGAAATAACTGGCACGAAATGTATTTTCTGATGGTGTTTTTTATATCAGTAGAGTCCTTGTGAAAAGGTGCTGTTTTTTTTCGGCGATGAGAGGAGCTGCGTGCTGATGACTGTGTGTGTGTGTTAGAGTGGCTGCTCTCTGGTGTGTTGTACTGTAGCACAGTGGGTCAGTCTATGGTGGACATGCAGAACACAAGTGTGAGATGCTGTCATTGAGCCTCATCAAATGACTGTGATTAATGCTCACACTGGGGACTTTTGTGACAATTGTGGATAGCATACAGCTGTTCACTGCATGCTCCTGAAATCATGGGATGTCGGTGTGTTGACATGAGCATGGCTTTCATATCAGCATGTAAGATAAGACTTTATTGATCCCAGGGTAAATTCTCAAAAGTCAGCGTGCTACCCAAGAATCAAACCTGGATCATGAAAATGGGAGTCTTGCATGATACCACTACACCAGCAGTGCTGCAAGCTGTGCTCCCCCTCAGGGAAATTGAACCCTGGTCTCCCACATGACTGGTGGGGCTACCACTATTCTAACAAGGCATCTACAGGAAACCTGAGACTTGCCACACTGGATGTACTGCATAGACCCAGAATCTGCATTATGGGCTCAGGCTTAGGGTCAAGCCTGGGGTATCCATTGATTGTCTGCTGAGATCCTGAATGGAATAATCAAAATGGAACCAATTTGTTCCATAAAGGACAGGGCAGATTCAGTCACCCACCCCACACACACAATAAATGGCCATCAGCCAGGTGCAAATCTCCTTTGATGAAGTCCTTTACAGAGGACAGGTCACAGCGTACTGGACATGCTTGCTCTCTGCAACAGTTGCTGTAGAATCTGTATTCTGCCCCATTACAAGTGAGCGCCCGGGACACTGGGTGCCTTCGAAAGCTGAGAGGGCTTCTGGCTCCTTATTCATCACTGCACTTAATGCTCATGTTTAGGGCAGTAATACTAAAACACAGTGAAGTCCGTCAGATGTTCATCTCATGGAGATCTGAAGGACATTAATGCTAAAACCTACCGATGTGCAGGTTTCCCAGACCTTTGGCATAATGTTTATTTTAAGCTTGTAGGAAAGCTATGAAATAATGACGATAGCATGCACAGCACGGCATGCGTGGTATCACTGACGACTTTTTACACTGCGCATTCCTGTGGCGCGCTTAGCTGCAGTGGCGGCACCATCGCTCTCCCACGTCTGGTTCCCGCTGCTCGTCTGAACGGCGTTCGCATTTATCTTCACGCATTAATGAACTGCGTCTAGGCACTCGCTGAAATAAACAGACTGCCATTTTACATGCCCCCCCCCAGACCCACCCACGATGTTCTCCATGTTTTCCAGCAAGTTCCTGTAGGTAAATGGTCTGCACGGTAATTATTCATGCCTTTAATGCAAGGATTATTTACGAGGGGTGGTATTCCTGGTGCCTTCTTGTGCTTATCTGCCCACTGAAGAATCACACAGAGCAAAACAGAAGTCAAGTCAAACAATGGATCAGATTGTTTATACAGTTTAATGTTTCGTATCTAAGAAAGAGCGTTATCACCGCCCACTTGCAGCAGATGCATATTCCAAGCCTCCGGTCGCTGCCCCTCCCCCCCCCCACGGCCATATCCCTTTGATGACGCCCATCGCCCTCACAATGTTTGACTGACTATCACTTTTGTCTGCCTTCAGGTTGACAAGATTTGTTCTCAAAACCAGACTGAAAAATGGTCCCCTGTGAGTAAAACAGCAGCGCTGAACCTGAATAACCAGGTGGGTGTTGGCTCCGCCTCACCCTCTATTTTTGTGCTTCATCGTCACCCTCCCGAGTGGACACCAACTCTCTCGTTTTGTCTCCAGACACAAAATCACTGAATATTGTGGAATACAGACGCACCCCCAGATTACGATGATCCATGTTATGATATTTCAACGTTACGATGGGTGTTCTGATTCCATTCTTCTTTTCACTTTCAGTACATTATTCAATAAATTACATGAAATATTCAACACTTTATTATAAAAGAAGCTTTGTGTTAATGGTTTTGCCAAACTGTAGGCTAATGTAAGTGTTCTAAGCATTTTTGCCTTAAGATATTTTCGCCTTAAGATCATAACCCCATCGTACCCCGGAGAGCGTCTGTATTTATGTAGCCCCACTGAATGTAGAACCATTCAGGAACCTCCTTAGGACTGCTAGCCTACAGGAGTCTGAGGTTCATCGAGCAGTACGATCACTCGTCATGGAAGGACCCTGTGCTATGTGGCTCCCTGAGTTATTCTGGAAGCTTATGTCTCTTCCAATCAGAGATAGGATGAATGGTGATGTCAGGCACGGTGGGCTTGGAGTTGGGAAGGATTAATGATATTAATGGATAAGAAGATTTCCCTGGCTGTAACAGGGCTTATTCCATCATCCACACCTTTAAACGTCTTTCAACCAGAACTGGGAGACAAAACAGATTAAAAATAAACCAATTCTTGGAATGCATGTGGATATTTATTTTGTGTCCGTAGACTCTGAGCGAAAGGCACCATTTATTCAGCCCTTGTTTGCCCAACCGCCTCATTTGTTTCGGTAATGAAAACGTGTCCTTTAAGGCACCCTGAGGAAGGTGACTTTATCACAGGCAAATTTACTGCTGTCTTTTTAAAGTGTCCAAATAATGGCAGGGAGAAACCCCCAAAGGCCGCTTTTATATAAAAATAAAATAAAGCATGAATGTACTATGAGAGCACTGGGACTCATTACAGTTGCAGTTTTAAGTAGTGGTTTCCCAGGAATGTCGACTGCACTCATTAGGTTGGAGGAGGTGGAACCGGACCACCGGACTTGACAGTGTAGGGGCCGAAGGCTGGAGGGCTCTGAGAGCAGCACGAGCGAGTGGACAGTCAGGGACATGGGGTGGGAATATGGGAGCCCTGCTGTTATTTGAGCGCCTTGAGCATCTGCTCCTCCAATCAGATACACTCCCCCATGCTTAATATTAATGATTCAGCGGGTTTCTGAAGGCAGAGCTGACCAACAGACCCTCTGCAAGTTCAGCCAATCAGGACCCTCCTGACTCTCACAGGCCATTAAGGCAGCAGCTGGAGCCAGTGGCCTTAGACATCACCCTTTATGTGTGAATATGTGACAGTGTGGAGCAGGATGGTCAATGAATGGAGGCCACCTCTGGGCATTTACTGTAACACACTGAATGAAAAATAAATACATGAGAAAATGTGACCTGTTTAAAGACGAGTACCTGTCTTTGTCAGAGTAACCCATCTACAGGCAGGCTGTTCAGCCTGGATATAATATCTAAACGCTGTGGATCAGAGGAGGCAGAGCTGAAGGGTACTGGGAGATTTGAGAGGGAAATTTTATTCGCTCATTCATTATACCACACATTTCCCTGCGCTTTGGATTAAGTTCCAAGATATAAAATCACATACAGTAGATGAAACTATGTTTTCCACGTACCTCCCAAAAGGAGCAGCTGGCCAGCTCTTCATAACGCCGCTTTATCTGGCTCTATCTGGCTGCTCATTCACCAGTGAATTTAGTGGTTCTTGATGGTCGGATATCACAAGGCCGGCTCCGGTTATGTTGACCACGGGGAGGAACCAGCAAGCATGAACAAAGCCAGACATATACAGAACACGCCAGGCGCTCGGGTTAGCTGCCGGAATGTGGTGCTTAATGAGCCAAGAGACATAGATATGTTACCTGGTTAAATTACACCGTTCATTCAGTTAGTAAACACCAGTCAGGGGTGAATTGATGTACCTGAAACCTGTTTATTTGCAGCCTGAGAACCTCAGACCTTTATTGTGATCAGTAGGGTGTTATTCACAGTGACCTAGAAACACCATAAAACTAAGAACTTTAAAATACTTGCTCTAGCACAGGTCATCAAAAAGTAAAACTGCAAAGAGTCCAACTGTTAAATGAACTGTGGGATTCATACTGTAACACTGGACCATTGTATTCACCTAGAAATTTTACTGTGTATTTAAAAATTAGTCTATTTTGTTACTTGGCCTGTATTTGATGTGGTTTTAGGTCGCTGCACTACATAAATCAGACAATGATTTATTTTAATTGTTTTTGATGGTTATTTAACAAGGACATTAGAAGTGGCAGAAGCTAAACTGCGTCCTCGTCTCTGTCTTCCTGTGTCCTTCAACGATCTGTCTTTCCCTGTGCTATGATTGTTCCAGGAAAAATCCCACGATCAGCCGAAACTAGGAAATGACATCATGAAGCTTCCAGAAGATGGAGGAGAGCAGAAGGGAGGGGACCAGGAGGAACACAACTGAAGCAATAGAGGATGAGGAGGAGGATGAGGATGATGAGGATGATGGAAAAGCGGCTGAGGAAATAATGTTCCACGGACTGTCTGTATGCTGTCAGTGATGTCAGTTTGATTCAGTGTAATACAAAAGCATGCAACTGACCCCGCCCCTTCATCATAGACCCCGCCCCTTCACCCTGACCCCCCCCCACGGGTCTGTCTCAGTCCCGCCTACATTCCCGCTGAATCACTTCCAGACCTATTTGCTCACACAAGACACAAGCACACACAACATGGTCATGTGCAAAACACATTCCCGATCTTTTGAGGAAACCCCCACCTCCTGCTGGCCATGTCTGGACTTTGATGGTGGAACTAATACATAGCAGTGGCATGTTCTCGAGCGCTCCATGTCGCTGGGGGCGTGTTTTTACGAGACTTTTGTTGTACAGTTCGTCTGCATTTGCTTCTTTAGTTGTTTTTGCTCAGTGCCAGGGAAATATTTCATGTTTTATAATGCTTTCAAACAAACCTTTTGTAGCTCAAGTCCAGCCGTAAGAGGAAGGTGCTTTTAGACTAAGTAGGGATGGACCTCGACCCTTCTGATCTTTGGCTGGCATTAAATGTACTACACGTTTTGAATGATAATTTTAAAAAGCTATTGATTAAAAAAATAACTGCAAAGCAGGAGGACTGACTTCTGTTCTGAGACCTGTTTAAAGAGTGTTCCGGTAGTTTAGTGTTTTGGACTCACAGAAAGAGCTCTTTCCTCCTTTGATGTAGGCCACAGACAGGGCTGGCCAACTTTCGACGTTTATTTTTCCGAAAATTATTTGCCTTTAATGTGCCAAAGGTAAAAGAATGAAAACTCACAATGAGTCTTTTCACTGAGAACTATGTGCCATGCACTGACTATGAAGCTAATCTAAGCTACTTTCTCTTTCTGTATTACCTGATCTATCTGTGTCCGTCCAATAAAAGACTGATTATTAATATTGTGTGAATCACCACATCTGTGTAATTTGGCTAAGAATAAATGGATTGTTGCAAAACAGTTGTGTCACATCTCTCAGTCATCGATTAAATACGTAATTATGCTGGAAATCCAAGAGAATGAAAATAAATGTCGAAAGGGGGCTAGCTGAATCGGCAGGCTTGGCGTTTGCGTGCGAAAACTGCTTTTTAGGGTCTGTAGTTAGTGTGTAACCAAGTACGTGTTCCAGTGCGCTAGCCTTGCACATCTAGCGTGTTTTACAGTTTATCGTCCAGTTTGCAGTTTGGACCAGGTCTCCAGGTGGCACTGTGGCAGTGCTGCCAGCCGCAGGCGTGCTTGCATCCTCCTTGACTGTTTAATCCCACAGAGAAGCATAGAATGAGAGCCGTGAAGGCCCCTGCCCGTGGCCCCCCACTCATAGCTGTGTTTGCATGACAGCCATCCGTCGGCATAACTGTCTTTGTCAAGGCTCAGCCTGCTGGCAGCCCTTACGCCAATCAGGACAAGCGAGGCCATGGGCGTGTTCTGTTTCGAAGCACAAAGGCGATACAAAGGATGGCACCTTTCACGTGGCGAAATTCAAAAGCTCTAACACCTTCTTGGTATTGGAAATTACATTATAAATTATATCAAAACAAAAGGCAAAAGAGGACAAATTGGGTCACATGAGGGGAGAAGGCTGTGTTTATATTCTGCTCCTGTCCTCACATGAATTGGTCTTTTAACTAGAATATTTAAATGTCCAAAGGTAAAGGTAATTGTTACCCTGGAAATGAGTAATGTGAGGATCTGGGGATTGAAGACATGAATGTGGCGTGTGGAGGAGCACGGTCGGCCTTCTGACCTGTAGAGGAGGCAGGATTGCAGCAAGAACTGACCTCGCAGGAAGTCCACCTCAATGATGGGCCAAAGCTGCCAAGCGGAATGAGGATTAAGAAGATGCTCCTGACCTCCAGCCTTCCAGGAGAACAATGTGTTTGTACAGTATATACATGCACATTGTGCTTATTTACTTTCAGCCCTGAAATGTGACACTTTATTAGGTAGCTCACAGTAATAGTAAAATATATAAAATGGTTTGAAAAAATAGCCATATGAAAACTACTCCTGTCCTGGGTGTCTGTTTTTTCATGTGGGTGAAGTAATCGGCTATGCTGTAGGCCGCGATGACAAGACTGGGAATCTATGCAGATGATCATCCATCTCTGCATCATTCTAAAAGTGTTATCTCATTTTCAGTTGCTGTTCATGGTTTTGCTTCAAAATGTAGCCATTTCTGCAATAATTCAAAGATGACTCAGAATGGCATTTCATTCGTACCAGTGATTTGCAGTAAAATTATTTATAAATTAAAAGTGGTTTTATATATAAGCATAACGGAAATCAACTTTGGGCGTTTTTCCACCACACCAGGTAGCGTACTTTTGGTTCTTCAAGAAAATACCAAAAGTACGGTACTTCAAGGTGTTGGTTTTCCACTGGTGTAAAAACTTGTACCGGCACTGTGTGAGGCTCGGTCTTTTCTACTAATTTTTAAAAATTATTGTAGTATATTATATGGCTTGGTAATGTGCAATATTAATACCAACATCGCATGTTATGCACATACAATTCTTACATCGCTAGTCAGCTAGATTAAGATCAGGATTTTTCTTACTTTGAATTCTGTATGGATATTATTGTGCTAGGGTTAAAGTTTCACTAAGATATTTTGACTCTTATTCTGTCGGAAAAAAAAACTTTTTTTATTTTTTATAAAACTACAAGTTTTGCTATTTTAATCATTACTCCTTTTATACATTCTTATATGTTAAAAAATCTATTTAAAGTTTAACCCCACTGTTTTTGCATGACCACTGCATGCGTAATAATTTTCATCCATTGCTGTTCAAACAACTTGAAGATGGATTTGTGAAAAATTTCTGAACTGCTTTTTCGTTTTATAAATGCCCCAATATTTACTATAACAAAATCACATCGCTAGGACGGCTCACCATATACCTGCTATATTAGTATATTCAACAAAATACTTTTTAATTTCTTGTCATGCCATCTGGATCTTTTTGTTGTATATGTTCTTTCAACCAAATTGCATTTTTTTTTTTTACTTTGTTTATCATTATTTTCGTGACTGTTTTCAAAGTGGTGTTTGTATTGTTTCAGAAGCAGGCTATTTGCATAACCAGTCGTCAAAATAAAGCGTTTCAGGTTCCACTCCAAAGTACCGAAGTACAAAAGAAGTACCCCAGCTGGTTTGGCACTTTTTGTGCTGGAACTTTTGGTACTCATACTCGTACTCGACTGGAAGTCAATGGAAAAGTGAAAGTACCGTACCAAAAGTACCGTACTTGGTGTGGAAGAAAGGCGCCCTTTGATGTTTTTGTAGTAAAGTCTAAGGTTTATTTGCAGCTATTCCAAGTATGAACACTTGGTTCCATTTCAATATAAAAAAAAATTTGGCCCTTGGAGCTAGCCTTACCTGACTAAGCATGCTTAGTGGTGAGCGGCATCCCGTAGCTATAGGGATGGGGGTATATGGAATATGGGATTGAGGTATAGGGATGAAGGTATATGGACTGTGGGACTGGGGTATAGGGATGGGGGTATATAGACTAATGGACTGTGGTGTAGGGATGAGGGTATATAGACTGTTGGGCTGGGGTGTAGGGATGGGGGTATATGGACTATGGGACTGAGGTATAGGGATGAAGGTATATAGACTGTTGGGCTGGGGTGTAGGTATGGAGTATATGGACTATGGGACTGAGGTATAGGGATGAAGGTATATAGACTGTTGGGCTGGGGTGTAGGGATGGGGGTATATTGACTATGGGACTGAGGTATAGGGAAGAAGGTATATAGACTGTTGGGCTGGGGTGTAGGTATGGAGTATATGGACTATGGAACTGAGGTATAGGGATGAAGGTACAGTATATGGACTGTGGTATATGCATTTTGGGCTGGAGCATAGCAGATTTTATCTGTGTATATGGTCAAGGAATGAAGTAGATCCAAGGCATTTTATTTTACAAACACCAATGTTGCCAGGTCAGTGTTCAGAAATGAAATGTGACTCCATTTATATGTGCTGTGTTGCTGTGGGTCCCCGATTACCCATGTGTGGTACATTTTGCCATGTAAATTTTGATTATCAACTTCCTAAGGTGAAAAATTTCCATCTTAATCTGTTGTTTTCAATCAGCATAATCGGTATTTAAGAATTCTGTTTTCTTACCTATATTGTGTTTATTGGTTTGTGTATGTTACTACAGTAGCATTGTAATCATTCTATCTTCATGCATGTCAGGAATCTTTTAAAAAGCTTCCTTCTCCTCAATGCATCTCCTCTGTGCTCCTGATGTTTTGTCTGCTTGACTTCTGTCGGTGTCTGAAAGACTGATTGAGACTGTTGCTGAGGTCTGGTTCTAGCCCCCTGTCTGCTGTCAGGACTGCAATCTGCCCTCCTCTCTAAGGCTTTGTAGAAACTAGGAAGTCAATAGTGTGTGTAGTTCATAGTCTAGCAAAAGCCACAGATATGAAGTTCTCCAGGTAACACGCTATGAAAATGACATTATGACTTTGTTAGTAAGTTGAGTGAAGACATTTAGCATTTTTCTAGTTTTCGAATAATTGAAGATGCAGTTTTATAAGCGACATCAGCACAGTTCTGCATGCTGGCCGCAGTGAATGCGATGGTGTCACGTCATAAATACATTGCAGATTTCTAGACTGCAGTGCGGTTGCCAGTTCATGGCTAATGTTGCATCTGGGCATTTTTTTTTATTAAAACAAACATTTTTACTTGAATGTTGCAGTTAATTATCTTGTTCCTTTTTAAAACGCTACCATCCAAATCCTATTAAAATATGTCAAGTTCACGCCTGCAGTGTTTCCACTTTACAGCTCTCTTTGAATTTGTCTTTTAACCCATAAATGAAACATTTTTGTAAGAAAATGTTTATATATAAAGCTACTTAAAATGCTATGCCATCAGACAGGATGAGCGCATAGTGTAGTAATTAATCCTTAACCATTCACTGATATGACTCCGTCCGAATACCATGGATGCAGCATGTTAACTCAGCTCTCGTTAGCCCGTGCTGCCTCTCCTCTCCTTCCGTGCGCCTCATTCTTGCTCCATCTCACACTGAGGCACGTATTACAATGCTGTCACGCTGCACTGACCTGCATGTTCTCAATGAGCTTCCCAAGGCAATGAGGTTATCCTCGAGATGGGTTTTTTTTTAAGTCGCCATGACTGAAATGCAACAGTGTTCATGAAAAAACAACAATTTGTTATCTGGTTAGTCACTAACCAGGAAATGAACAGAGTAAGAATGTTTTCTCAGCCAGGAGAAGCTGTGCGCTTTGTAATTCATCTACAGCAAAAATAAATGAAAGTTAGCATCACTACAATGCACATCTCCATAATTCATGACTGGGCCCCCATCTGATTTAACCATCTAATTCATCTTGTAAAACTAGGCCAGTGTCTTCACCCAAGTAAGACCAATTTAAATTAGACTGACTGTAATTTCCCATGAATAATGCAGTGGACTGATGTATGAAGATACAGCATTCAGGAAACTTCTATTAAAAATCGTCAGCGTTTAAAAAAAAAAAAAAAAAACACCAAAAAAAATGATGTATGTTGTCTTAATGCTTTTAGAAGAATGCAGCATCATCATCCTGTCAATTAAAAACAGCACACAGAAGTGAGAAAATCTCCCTGTCTCCAATCGCTGTATATTTTAAGCTATGAAACAGAGTACAAATGTAATAAATAAATAAACTTTTTAAAATGTCCAAATGGGATATATCTGTCAGAAATGTGATGACGGGAGGCTGATACTGCTGTCCCCCTGTCCTCATCCCCCTTGAGGTGTCACCGACTCCAGGAAAAACTTTAAGTGGAGGGAGGAGACAGCTCCGGATCCGGGGCTGTGTCCCAGTGGGGAGGTGGGGGGGGGGTTCTGCCAGCAGCGCTGTCTCCGCAGCCTTTGATTGTTCAGCTTGAGCTTTGCCCAGGAACTGCTCACTCTGCATGTTTTCCCACCCTGGGCAGCGCCAGCCGCTTCTGGTTTGATTTCCCGTCATGTCACTCGGTAGCCTGTCTTCACTTTCCTTCCCGCGGTAAAATATCGCGTTTTACCATAGTCCCGCTTTAAAAATGGCCACGATCACAGCAGACCGGCGCATCACGAGAGCAGGAAAGACAAGTGCACGGAAACGGGGGCTTCTATCAGCCAGGCACCAACACCCGTGCGCGTCTGCCAGCTTCGCTCACTACTCTCTTAATAAACGAAATATAACAATGGAGTCTTGTGATTTGCATTAATGGGGATGCAATAATAATAATACACCCACACGTGCGTGCGGGAATCGCAGCGGGAATGATGGCACAACCGAGATAATGGTGTGAACGCATTTAGGAGCGACGGTCCGCCGAGCCGGGATGATCTTAAAATAACACTGTCGTTCACAGAGATATTCACGATGACACATGTTTGTTTCAGCACCTAGGAGAAAGTCCAGAAAAGGAATCGCGATGTTCACGTGGGCCTATGCAGCACGAAGTATTACATTTTAAATGTATATTTCCTTTAGTAGGGGGGCTGTACGTGTTTGGAGTTGGAAAGCGCTTGAAATAGATCGATTATGGAAGTAATTCACTACTACTGCTAATGATAGTATTTAACAGTACTCCGATTTTTATTTCTACTTTATGACCTGCTAGTTCAAAACGTGTAATCACTTAACCAGGAAAAAGAATTGTTGTCCTCCCTGTGCTGAAAGAGTTCTAGTGATTGGGATTGCACATGATTCCCTGAAAATTTATTTGGGAAGGTGCTTCAGAGCAGAAATGATGCCTTAGAATCATTTTGAGAGAGGTAAGAGAGGCTGATGAGATCTTTGCTGGGTAAGGAGGGTCTCTCATTGTTTACTCTCCCCTATGAATCCAAAATTATGTACAACTTGTCAAAAACATTCTGCAAAGTACATTTCAAGCTCCTCTTGACATGAACACCAGCATCCCTTCACACCGTAACCTGCTTGTAAAGATACGCTGTATAAATACCACTGGGTGGATGTTACTGTGCTATGCTAGAGGCTACAGCTTGCCAAGTGCACTCAGTTCAGTAATTGAAAGATTTACTACTATGCCAATTTAAGCCTGTGTTGGTGTGGCCAGCAGGGGGAGCCCATCCGGTGGTCTGTGTGGGTCCTAATGCCCCAGTGCAGTCACGGGGACACTGCTGTAAAAATAGTGCCATGCTTCGGATGGGACGTAAAACTGAGGTCCTGACTGTCTAAGGTCATAAATGGTCCCTGGGCATCTTTCGAAAGAGTAGGGGTGGTACCCCAATGTCCGGGCTAAAATTGCCCACTGTAGTCCTATCAGATCTGGCCTCCTAATTGTCCCCTGTGTCTAATTGGTGAATTCTCTCCTGCCCCTTCACCACCTTAGCTACTGTATAGTAATATTAAAACAAAGGGACTGTTTCACTTAGTCATGGAAAAGACGGAACAAAAGACGAGTCTGGATTAAAAATGTAGCTGCGATTTGGGAATAAATATATGCAAATGTAAAAATAAAAAACAATATGGATCCAGCTTGGAACGAAAATGAATAAAGGTTGGAAGATGGATGGATAGATGTAAAGACATTTAATGATAAACTTTGCAATAAATTTTTATCAAAAAGGCTCAGTTGGTCTTTGCTTTATAATAGCCATTAAAATAAATCCATTTTCCCGAACCCAGGCAGGCACACAAGGCTGGAGGCACTCAGGATCCTGTCCACTGCAGTACCTACACACTCAGCGCACCTCAGTCTGGGTCGAGGGACCCCTGGGGCAGTTTAGGTCGAGTCATTGCAAATCCCTTTCTATGACAATCATTGCTTAATTTTTAAATTTGTTATTTTCTTTTCACCTCGCCTCCCCGACTAGGATGAGAAGTTAGATGGCAAATGCATGGATTTTGTTTACATGTCTCATGCTGTTTCTTTCATACTTGTTGTCCTCATTTTCTCCTCTATCCGCAGAATTAGCATTCAAATAGTGCAGTCAGTCTTTCCGCAGATGAAATATCATGGAAACCTGCTGCTGATTCCAGTCGTTTCATGGTGTTTCCAACTCTTATCAGTCCAGAAAAACCAAAACTTAACTCACCCGAGCTATAAAAATGAGCTTAACCTTGACCTTGCACTATACCTGCCATTATTATTAAATGACATGTTGTGACACGTAATACAAAACTATAATCCTTGAATACCATATCATAACTGTGTGTCTTGAACTTTTTTATGGAAAATTTGAGTTTTTAGAATTAATAAATACTATATGAGACGTTGGCACTGTAATAAAATCCTGTTTAGAATCTCGGATGTCACAGTAGCGAGGTTTGATTCTCCATAATGTCTCCATAAGCTGGTGCTCACACTCATCGGCAAGGGATGCTTTTTCATTGCAAATCCAGATGTGAGATAAGAAGTGAACTTAGCTTCTCCACTGTAAAACCCACTGGATTCTCAAAACCAGCCGTAGGACTGGCCGAGAGGCAAGAAATGCTACTTTTATCTCTTGTGAGCTTCTTTAACATATTTTAATAGTCACATACCTTTTATGGTGTCTTTTATTTTACGCTTTATCTATCTACAGGGATTGGACAATGAGACTGAAACGCCTGGTTTTAGACTATAAGCTGAGGCGATTCTAGGGACACTCGGGGCTCTAGGCGAAACCCTCCACGGGGCCTTCCTACACACACACCCCCCTCCCGCCTGACATGGTAAAATGTATGAATTTAGGCGTGAAGCCTAAATTAATAATATCCACAAAGAGAATTTAATAAAAAGAGAATACACAAATAAAGTAGATTTGTCGTTGCAATGTACTATGAAATCAGTCGCCCTCGGGGACCCCCTCCCAGCTCGAGGGCCCCAGGCAATCACCTGCCCTGCCTGTCCTGTTCCTACGCCTCTGACTACAATAATTTATTAGTATGTTGTAAAGCCTCATTTTGCAGCTAACAGCATGAATTAATTTTGGGAATGACAGGTATCTGTCCTGCACAGCGGCCAGAGGGATTTTGAGCCATTACTCTTGCAGAACAGTGGCCAGGTCACTATGTGATGCTGCTGGAGGAAAACGTTTCCTGATTTGCTCCTCTGAAATATCCCAAAGTCTAATATTCAGGTCTGGTGACCATGCAGGCCATGAAAGATGTTCAGCTTCACTTTCCTGTTCATCAGACCACTCTGTCGCCTGTCTTGCTGTGTGTATTGGTGCATTATCATCCTGATGCACAGCACCACCATCAGGGTACAATGTTTGAACCATTGGGTGAACATGGTCCTCCAGAATGGTTCATAGTCCTTGACAGTAATGCACCCATGTAGAACAAGTAGTGGATCTAGTGAGTGCTATGATATTGCAGCCCAAACCATCACTGATCCACACCTGTGCTTCTCTCTGGGTACGCAACAGTCTGGGTGGTGAGCCTCTTTGGGGCTTCGCCACACCATAACTGTCCAAGACATGGGAAAGACAGTGAAGCTGGACTCATCAGAGAACAAAACATGTTGCACACTGTCCACAGCCCAAGATTTGCACTGCTGGCACCATTGAAACCAATGCTTGGCACTGGCACGAGTGACTGAAGGTTTGGCTATAGGAGCCCAACCACGACTATATAGATTCAGTGGAGCTTCCAACAAAGTTTTGGTGTAAACAGGATAGTCGAGATGTGCATTTAATTCTGCAGTGAGTTTGGCAGCTGTGGTTTTTTGGATACAATCCAGGGTAGGACCCAGACGACGCTGTCAGATGGCTTCCTCTTCTGTCCAGTTACTCCTGTTGGATGTGGTTGTCCTTCGTGGTGGTAGGCTGACATTATCCTGGATACCGTGGCTCTCGATACACCACGCCAGCGAGACATGCACCAACAATATGTTCTCTTCTGAACTCTGATATGTCTCTCATTATGCAGTGTGGATGGCCATTTTTTATGTACATCTGTGCTATTGCTCAAATTCAGTTTTCACACTCTGCTCTTACTGATGGAATGTGTCATCAGTGAAGACTGGCTACCAAATAGGCATGAAACCTCAAATACTCTTCACCAGGTGTTTCAGTTTCATTGTCCAGCCCCCCTTTGTTTGCTAACCTAAGACAGAGTATCAGCAGGACTGAACTGATCACATGCTGGTTGAACACCAGCCCTGTGTTTGAGGCCCATGTCCTCGTTATGGTTTAATTGTGGTCACCTGTGTAGAAAGGCGGACAGTGTGAGATTCTCCCTTTTAAAACGTGCATTCATGTGTCTTTAGTCATTCTGTAAACTTGCATCCTGAACTCCATCCAACAACTTTTCAAAAAAAGTAAGTTCAGCAGTTTTTTTTTCCCCTTTTGCTAGTGTTGTAATGAGTGTGCATCAGTTTATACTCCAAAGGAAACTCTACAGCTGTGTGTGAGGAAACCAGTCTGGCTGGAGCGACGCTCACATACGATTCCATGGAAACCAAGGGCATGGGAAGATCTTTGATCTGGGACAAGATTCAGAAGTTTTATGAGAAGTGAGTACGCCAAAGATTCAGAGAAAGTCGTATGCTGGTTTGTGGAAGCGACTGATTGAAGTAAAATAAGAAAGGGAAGTTTCCAACTCTTATCAGTTCAGAAAAACCAAAACTTAACTCACCCGAGCTATAAAAATGAGCTTAACCTTGACCTTGCACTATACCTGCCATTATTATTAAATGACATGTTGTGACGCGTAACGCAAAACTATAATCCTTGAATACCGTATCATAACTGTGTGTCTTGAACTTTTTTATGGAAAATTTGAATCTTTAGAATTAATAAATACTATATGAGACGTTGGCACTGTAATAAAAGCCTGTTTAGAATCTCGGATGTCACTGTAGCGAGGTTTGATTCTCCTTAATGTCTCCTAGCTAGAATGTGAGCAAAGCTGTCCAGTGACCCCAGAATGTGAAGCAACCCTGATGTTCTCCTCACTGAAAAACAACGTGCAGTGATAATCCTAATAATAAATGCACTATTTTTTTATACTGAATCTCTGCTATTTACAGGTGATATAAGCCATATAATGTTCAGCATTTATGGAAAATGATACATATTCATACAATAAAATAAAATCCACCGTATCCACTTTGCTCTAATGTTCATTTAATGTTCCTACTGCTGTGGCTGTTTTTTCTCCATTCGTGTTACTTGTTATTCAGAAAACCAACCCGGGGATCTTGATATTATATAAAATGATTAACACTCATAATCACTGTCTTGTTCTGCGAGATCCACGGTCAAGCTGTTGGATTTTTTTTTAACTGTAGCTGATTGTAGTGTTGAGGACGTGTTTGAACTCGATACACGGTGATTCATCCTGCTGTGAATTTAGCAAATCAGCCCTAATTGACGCAGCATTTTTAAAATTAGTTTAACACTGCTGCTAGAACCTGTGGTTGACGAAAAATGAATTTTGTTTGTGCCAAATTATCAATAACAACATTTATATAATGCGTTTTTCCCTCCTGGTCTGCAAGCAAAGTTTGAAAATTACTATTATTTTAATGTTCATGGTAATGATTCATTATTAGCTTTGATAGAGCAGAAACCTAGAATATTGTAGTGCAAATTATGGTAATGTAACTCTGAAACTTTTTTTTTTTTTACTTTGTCACAGAATTAATAGAAGAGAAAGTCATCTTAAATCAACGTGCTGATCTTGTGATCTAAAGTAAGACAATTAAAATTGGCAAAAAAAATGTATATTATCACAAAGTCATTCAAAACAGATGAGTTTGTCTCTTGTGACCCTTTAAATGGCAGTTTTAATATTTTTTTCTTTTAAGGTGCCCTTTTAAATGGCTTCTTTTTCACTAATGATCTCCATTTTTAAGATGTATTAAAATGCCTGAGAAATATAAAATGTTGTAAGTGCTTCTGAGACCAGCTGTGGTCCAGGGTTTGGAAGAAGTTAAACATCGATGTGCTGAATTCTGGGACGCCTCCACGGATGCTGCCGGAAAATGCGGCATTTCCCCCCGCTGCCTTGTCCCTGTGGGGAAGTCGCAGGATGCCTTCAGTCCAGGCTGATGCTGTTATTGACATCCCGCTGGGAGGTGCTGGTCACGTCCCTTCATCTCCGGCTGCTACTCGGGGGAATGCAGGATATCTGACGAACTGAACCTGAGCTGTGCCCCCCCCATCACACCATAATTTCAACTCCAGCTTCTTCTAAAGTGTCTTACTGGAATTACAGGTTAAAATTTGATTAATCTGATACATTTTTCTAGGCATTTTTCTAACTATGGTCAAGCAGGGGGGGGAAATCATGCCTGTATATAAGATTTCCACTTGTCAGGTTGTTAATTAATTAAGTTTATATCTGAGCCCTGATGAGGGTTTTCATCCATCAGCCATCCATGCTTTTTCTCTGTCATATTGGTAGTTAATATTGTTATAAACATGGCACAGGACATAATTCCTATCTGTTTCTATAAACAGATTTTTGGATGAAATGGTGTCGGCATGCTGGATAATTTATAAGCAATGCAACAGCGCAGGAACTTTCTGTGTTTCCAGCTTGGCATTGTGTGTGTGTGTGTGTGGGGGGGGGGCATAGCCACAATATCACCGATTCTGTTTACTCTCCGTGTCGCAGGCAGGAGCTGTGTCCCTCTCCCCAGCGTCAGAGCCGGCAAACCCAAACCTAGCAGCTGTTTGTAGGATGAGATGTCACCATAGCTGAGGAACACGACTGTACTGAAGCAGAAGCAGGCAAAACGGCCCAGAAATCATGGGCAGATTAATGGCAATCTCCGCCTGGAAAATGCTAAGTTCATTCCCTTCATCACTGGAGGATATCCAGTGTATCAGTGTAAAACTGCATCACATTGGCACAGGGAAATAAGAACTGGCAGTTTGTCCACCCCCCCCCCCCCAAAAAAAAAACAGAAAAAAAAACTAAGAGGGGACATTTCTGTCCTGCTTCTTACTTTCTTACTGATTCTTACAGTCGACTGTGATCTCCACCGCATGTTCCTAATTGTCTTCTTCGAATGGATATGTTTGACTAACCACAGAATGTTATAATTGGGTGGCTTATATGTCATCTAGGCTCTCTGTTTGCAGTCAGGACTGTCCTGGTTCTGGGAAGGTTCAGACAGGCAGCCATGATTTTAGGCACTATTTTTGAATTTAGTTTAACCTGGTGGGTGGGTGCTGTGGCAATGGCAAAGTGAGTCATCTAAAATATTTTTCTCGTAGATGACAAAAGGGATTTCTAGTTGTATGACTATCTCAGGTTTAAATGAGCTGTACAATTCCCAGCCTTTACGCTCTTCCAGTGGCTGGCAGTGGGATTCTTTTTTGGGCACTATGGATATCGAGATATGCAAGGAAACAAGCCAGCGGCGTCATTTATGAAGTTTTTCACATGCCTGCTTTTGCCCAGTACAAAAACCCGGTGCTGCTAATTTATGTCTGCTGTTCTGCCAGTGCATGGAAAACTGCAAGCTTGAATGTGCGGAAGTTTGTGCCCCTGTAGAGAAGATCAAGGGTCTGTCATTGCTGACGTATGACAGGTGATTGTCCCGAGTAGGGTGGCAGTTTAGTTTTTGGGTAATGCCACAGGTCAGTCTGCGGTCTGCAGCAGTGTCTTGTCCTACGGCGCCGCCCTGTAGGTGCCCTATCTCACAATTGTTACATTTAGCGTTTTTTTCCAACATGTTGCTCTGTGCATTTCTGGATGAATTTTTTTCTCCAGCTTTATGTTTTCTTTGCTAGGAAATCTGTGATCAGATCGGAAAGCATGATTAACACCGTTTTACATATTTTGAAACATAAATCTTTTACACTTGAATTGCTACGCAAACAGTGCTCTATAACTGAGTTCAGCTCCCACATACCAGAACACTATTCAATTATGGAGAAAATATTTGATTAAAAAGCTATTTAAAGCATTAACAGTGGATGAATTCCTGCTTTATTTGTTTATTTTTCTGAATTGCTGCATTTTAATCTAAACTTTTCTACGGGTTATCATAATGGATTGGACAAATTCTATGGAGAATATCCTGCACACTTTGGTAACATAATTTGGTTTGGTGAACCACAGTGGAAAGAAATTGACTCTCTTCGGTGTGAAATGAATGAAAATTCAGTCTCTTCAGGTTTTAATTACCCCAATGAGAGGTGATCATTCTTGAGGATGGATTGGAGGCTCAACTAAGCTTCATTACCACCAGTATTGATGAAAAACACTCAGAATGTGATTCAGGAGTTATTTTCCAATAAGATGCATGCTTTCATTAAACATACAAATACAACAAGCACTTCCATTCTGATGCTAGATCCCAGCTTGTGTTTTGAGGATAAAACTATTGAAAAGACATGGATTGATTAGATGGCCAGAGATGGTGTGGCAGATGTTACATGCACGGTCTGCTTGATCTGAACTTGGGTTTGCAGACAGTCAAACTGAATTCTGAGAGTGTTTATTCGTTTTCAGAAGCATTGTGTTCAATGTTGCGATGTAAACATATTGAACAGCCCTTTGGAAATCTGTTAAATTCTTTATAATGCTGGGTGTGTCTGAAATGCAGAGCAGATTGTACTTTTGTACGGACTGAGCCCGTCATTGTTCGGTTTCAGTGGGGCTGTATTGTGTGTGTGTGTGTGTGTGTTTGTGTGTGTGTGTGTGTGTGTGTGTGTGTGCCACATTATCATCAATACTGATGTCCGAAGATAATTTGTACATTTTCCTCATTTCTGGCATCTGATTTTGAAGCGGCCTTCAAGTTGAGAGTACATGGTTGCGAATTGCAGAATCGCCTGTTGTCAGCCAGCAATGCTGTCCTGATATTCCGGGCCCATCTCGTAAACATGAAACGACATTAACCACCAACTAATAACTGTCTGTAAGCTAATGTGAAATAGAGATCTGTGATAATCACGCAATTAGCCAGTTGTACCCGCCCCCCCCCCCCCCCGCCCCTGTTCAGTCCGCTGCTTTCAGTTCGTTTAATCAGCGGCCGCAAGACTTAACAATCGTCTGCGGATCCTCGCTTATAATTGCAGGGATAAGAAAGCAATTGCTCTGTTCTCCAGGAAGCTGAAAGAAGTATTATCAAATGTTTGCAAATTTGTTGTGGGTTGTTCGCACAGCTATATAAAAGGTTTATTATAAAAGGAAGAGGAACTGGTAGTTTCAAGACCAGAGAGAAACTGCTGTTGGCCTGAATTGCATAAATGTGCATTTATATCTCTGTGGGAAATTGGAATAAGTCCGTGACCAAGATTAAAATAACGGTGGTAGCTCGACCAGTGATGAGCGCTTGCTGGAAGACTTTTTGATGTCTCCTTGTGCAAGGCAGACATGTGGAAGGACTTCAAAGCCAGCCTTGTCAATTGGTGATGCATAAACGCCCGGCAGCTAAGGGATGTGTTTTGCCTTCTGTGTTTCTGGCTGCTTTTGAGGCTTTTAATTTACTTTTTAATGCTAAGAAATAAATAAAATCAATTTGTGCCAATTTGTGCCCCTTGAACAAATTAGTGCTAAATGCCAGTATTCGTTTTCATTGATTAATAATTCTTTTTAATCTGTTCGCTTCCAGTTTAATGAATAAATAATTCTGACCGAGTGAAATTTTTTGGATTTCAGAATGACGGTAATAAATTGGAAAAAAATGTTTGACTGAAGGCCCAGCCGAGACTCAGGACGGGAGACTGGTCAAAGAGGTACGTTCCTTGAGAGGACCGAACATGGTTCTTCTCCGCTGTATCAGGGCAGTCCGCCTCTATAACCTCAGAGATGGAACACCTCGCTCTAAATAGGCAACGGTCCACTCAGCCTGCTGCTGGGTGACTAAGCCCTCGAGTCTGATCCTGATGGGCCGGGAGAATGCGACCATAAACACAAACCTTCACGCTTGGTTTCACTGCTGCATACAACGCCTGTGCATACAGTAGTGCTCATTTATATGGTTTTGCCACATTTTTGTACTTCTCTTTTGCAGACTAGCACCTTTTTCAGTTCAGCAGCAGGGTCTGTCCTGTCGTGACTCACAAAGCTTTTTAATTTCAGTATTTCGACCCTGTTTGTGTGGGAGACGGCAGCTCCTCCCCGCTGCCTGCCTCCTTGTTTTGTGGTGAAGGACCCAGTTGCCCTTAGCACTCCTACCTTCAGCAGCAGCCCTAGCTGGGTTTGCTGTTTCCGTGGCCCCACTCAAAAAGTCACTTTGCCCCCCCCCCCCCACCAAGATATTTCAAAAACTAAATAAATAACCAGTGAGTAGAGTCAGAAGATCATAGCTAGCTAGCTGGTTAGCTGAGCGTGCTGCTTGAACATCTCCTAAATAAGAAACAAGTTTATTTAATTTTATTGTTTGTGGCCAAACAGGGGCCCCCAAACCTCAGGGGCCCCAAACCTCAGGGGCCCCAAAAGTGACACTAAACGCTGCCTGGCTGGCGGTGCTACCTGTGTGCATCATAACCAGCTGGTGCCCCAACATCTCCTGGACCATCTGTACTGTAACTCGCAATTTCAGCCCTTGATATGGCTGGAAACCTTACTGGAGCAGCTCCAATTAAACATCATTAATTACTGATAATATAAAGCGGGAGTGGGGACTGGAGAAATCTTGTATTTCCAGTCTGTCTTGTCACTTTATACTCACAATAACAGTCTCATGTGCTTGTACTGCCCTCTCATTCGAGTTCAGAACCCCCCCCCCATTCCATCCTCCGCTGCTTGTGTCACATGACTCTATTGGACACCCTGTGTCACATGACTCCATCGGCCAGAAAATCACATGCAAGACCATGTCTTCCCTATCCTAGACATCTTTCTCCGGCAGCCTGCTCTCCAGGCAGGTCTGTGTAAGCGGTCGGATGGGAGGCCGCACTCACGACGTCATCAGAGCCATGGATGGGATCTTATCCACCCATGT